TTTTCAGCATCTCTGGTTGAATGAAGGAAGCGATCAATAGCTCAGCTAATACTAGCTCTTCATACACTTGAGTTTATTCGGTTATTGAGTTGTGCTGAGTTCTGCAATCTCCTGCGCTGTCAGATCCATCAGCTGAGAGATGCACGAGATCTCCGTTTAGATTCAATACAAAAAAACAAAAAAGACATATTAATATTCCAGCAGTGTGGCGCTGAACGAGTCTGCATGATATCAGACACAAACTAAAGCCTGTCGATCGGCCTCATCACTCGCTAAACACAGATTGAACGAGACATCAGACTGAACTCTCATCAGAGATCAGATATGAGGCTCTGCAGAATCCTTCATAACAGCTGCTTTATTGAGCTCTCAGTCTGCTGAACGTCACTGAATCAATCTGAGCCAATCAAGAGTTCATTTGTATTCTGGTGCTTCTTTTAAAAGATGCTAAATATTCAGTAATATGATCAGTTTAACTGCACTGACACTATTAGATGAGAACAAAACTAAATTGAGCTGGATAATGCCCAGCGAACAGGGATTGTTCTCAGAACTTTGGTTAATGTTCTGGCAAGTTTCCCTCAAAGTTATGAAGAAACGTTCTTCCTGTGGCATTAATTGAATGGTCGTCCAAAATATCTGGTTTTTAATGTTCTCAAAACATCAAAACAAAAACATTATTCATACATCATTCATGGAACATCTTTTCTGAAATGTTCAAAAGTTGCTACTTGATTCAGAACGTTCAGTGAACTTTCAATAGTAACATTCTCATAATGTTCCGAGAACATTCAGTAATATTCATGTAAATGTTAGCAAAACTTTATTTTTGGTTCGCTGGATTGCAATCGCATTCTGTAGAGCTGCTTTATAGCGAAATCAAATTGATTTCATAATAGACTAAGTTATTAAACTGAACTGAATCAACATTGAAATGTATAATGATGCTATTTTCTTTGAGATGCTGTAATTGAATTGCAACGTTAATAGGCTACTGTTATTTTCCCAGGTAACAAAATTTGTTGTAAGAACGTTTTGCTGATGTTCCCATTTAGCTATAAAAACATTCTTTTTTAAAGATCTCTGAACATTTTTTTGGTTGTGTGAATGTTAAGGAAACATTCCATTTGATCGTTTTGCTTTTGAATGTTCTCTGAATGTTCTGAAACAAGTAGAAACTTTTAAAAAATGTTAGATGTTAAATGGCCAACTGAAACGTTTCAGGAAAAAAAAAA